AAAATGGATGGAAATTTTGAGTAACATGGCTACAGGGAACAGACAATTGCGTTTCCCAACGAAGGTGTTGAATTAGTGACATTAGGGTAAAGCACAAACCCCGTCCGCTATTTTATTAGAAATTGTATTCGGGTATTGTGCTTTGTAGTGTAGACCAACCTCAAATAGGTGTTACAGATTGGCAAAATACGCAATCACCTTGGCCGTAAAAGCTTGGAAACTTGGCTTAAAATAAACTACATGAAGTATGTTTTGCAGTCGATAGAAAAGATAATGACCTACGCCTGAACCATTCATAGACGAATCTTTGAGGAAGTATATAGAAATAAATCATTGCAGGAATACCCGTCTGCATACTTACGTCATATCACTAAAGCTTAAGTTTAGAATAATTACGTGACAAATTCCAATGAATGTCCTACAATTAGAAAACGGGTAATTAGTTCACCCCCTGGAAAAAGGTCATCGGTCTCATTTGTTTTCGTTGCTATCAATGCGCAAAACGTATGCTTTAAAGAATCTACGTCTAAGAGCACTGATTTTGAGAAACACGACGACGACAGCCAGTAATATTATCAACGGCACGTGATGTTGGTGATTATTTAATGAAATTATTAAAGGAGGTTTTATGCCGCAGCAATAGTTTACTATCATGTATAATCACAACGATAATGTAAACGGAGGTAGTAAAATTCCTAGAATTTACAGTACTGAACTCCACACTCAATGTAGCTGCCACAGTACACTGATTTTTAAGTTAAATTATTGCAATTTGTCGTCCAACTAGAGAATACAAGTCTGTTTTGCCGTTATCCACCAAAAACCATACGGTGGTTGTCCATTAATACAGAGAACATAATTGTAACTAAATATAATTTTTGCTACAAAAACACGTGACATATACTTGTACCGACCCAGAACATCATGTGTAAAAGAATCAGTATTTTTTGAAGAATAATTGTATTTACACCCGAGACAACTAGAAATATACAAATCATGTGGCTAGGATGAAAGCTCTCCGGATTTTGCACGACGATTTTTTTTTGATGATATGTTAGGAAATAAAAGTTACCTCGCGCTGTCTTTCCTGTCGTTTTAAGTTGGTTTTTGGTGTTAATTCAGTGCAAGAGAACATGTTAACTAATCTCCCAAAACTAACACCGCGTGTTGGATGGCAATGCAGACTGTACTGTGATTTATTCTGCTGAGTAAACAGTAAGAGGGTCGAACACACAACACCACTTATGCAGGGCGACGAGACAAACACGCTAGACAATGTACTGTCACTCAGGTCATCTATACACAACTTGTCCAGGTGTGGACTTTATTGACTATAATCGGTCTGCCGGGAATTAGGTTGGAAAAGCTATACAAATAAACACGTTTTCACACATAGAGTTTTCACTGAGCTAATGGCAAATCATTGAAAATAGAATTTAGAGTATATACTGGATTCACATGAGAATTAGTAACCCGGGGTATCTCACGCACGTAGCACATTGGGTCGGGTGTATATTTCTAGAGCTAAGAGAATGCGTGAAATATGGAAAGGGACGTTTTGGGGAAAATAATTATGTGAAATAGGTTTCCATTGCATAGAGTATTTGCAAACGTTTTTGCCTGATGCAGCACAAATAACGACAAAAAAGCTTTACTTTGCGTTTTTTACCACTTCTACTGTATAATAAAATGCATAATTGTCAAATTATATGATAGGGTGTACTTTGTTGTTTACATATTTGAGAATAAAGGCTTTTTCAAAACCCTGTTCAGAAGCTTAGGTGCCACGTTTTTGTTGGGCATTATAAAAAACTTCTCTTGAATGTTAAATGGTGTGTCCCTAAAACATCCTCCTAGGTCTAGTGGGCACTTAATCAACAGTCACGCTACTTTATGGGCGAATGAACCTTGCTGTGTGAGAGAAGTCACGAACCCACTTTCGCAAGATTGTCCCCTTTGGATAGTGCACACAACGGCACGTGCTGTTGGTGATTATTTAAGGCGACGTTGGATATTCCGTAGAAATCGTCGTTGTCACCGATGTTTGTTCATAGAAAGATTTGACAGATGCTTAATACGTTGTTACCCACAAGCATTTATATTGTCCAAACTACAAGTTTTACAGAAAATTCTGCACTTTTCTCTGCGTCAGTGATCCACAGCTTATAAGACTTTCCTAGGTCGTTGTCCAAAGGCATAATAACCTATATCTCAGATCATATATCACTTTCAATATTACAATAGAACTACAAAACTCTCTCATGCTTGCCATCAATTATGATACAAAATATAGTGTTACACATTCGTGGGCTGTTTGTCAGAGAGAAAAAAACAGATAAATATTATATATTTATAGGATGTTTAGAATACGCTCCTCGTACCGGGGTTCTTTTGGATATAAATTCCAACCCGAGATAAAGGCCCTACGTGTAATGGGAATAAAGAGAGACTTGTTGCAAGTATAACTACTGGAAAAAGAGCTAAATAAGGCCAAAATGCAGGGTTTTTCCAATTAGTTCGCCGTATTGGTTTTCTGTGAGTCTGGTGTGAAACACGGGAAAGTTTGCTGAAAACAAAATATAAAACCAGCATTTGGTATATGAATGATTCTGTCCCGTCCTACAGCATTTTGTTTGCAAGATTCATTCACTCTTCCCCAGCCTTTAAATGGTTCACCGACTAGGTCACCACTTTGACCTTCCGATCATGGGCACATTAACCCCATAAGTCAAATCGTATATCACTATCATAGGAAAGTAGTATACACAAAATTAAAAGATTGATATAGTCAAGCATGACAAAAACAATGAAATAAAGACTGTAAAGATGACAACCAAAACACCAATAACAAACTAAGAATATACAAAAGATGATAAAATCTATAAGTTTTAGAATTATCCATTTATCATTGCTAATAACATGATTCGTACAGCAATTGGACGTTAATAACTTTCAAACATCGGTTGCCATCGAGGATATTTGTCAATTATGTCATCTGATTATAATTGAAACAAAAAAATGACCCGCGCATAAATAAATCATTTTAGTGTACCGTTTGATTTACATCGGAATCGTCGGTTTTTGTGCTTCTAAAGGTTTGAAAAAACATGCGCTCATTTCCGTAGATTCTATATACAAACGAAAATAAATGTTACGAACTGATAGCGAATGGTTAAAGTAAGTGTTATGAATTAGTTCGCATATTTCCTGTGTTAAACTCACGAACCGTCCTTGCCCTACCATCAAAGTTAAATGCTCGGGTTGAATGGCAATGGCCATCGCGCCGCGTCGTGTGGGTCGATATGGGTCCCATGGCAACGTATACAACGCATGTAAAATATGTTTGATTGCACGATATTCAAACACGGATTGTGCGAGATTATCGCACAGCCCAGGACTTGTGTATACAAATAGAAATAAATATTACGAATGTGACAGTGATTACTAACTAATCAGTTTTCATATTTAGAAAATATTTCACAATATGAGGTGTTATTATTAGGGAGTTAATAGTCATTATCTCATATGTTGAGCAAAACTCACCTACGTAACCGCATCAATAGTAAACACTGAGAATCAATTAAACTATTTTCATATAATAATGATCCAAACTCAAAACTACGGACATATAAATTATTAAAGAATAAGATTGAAATTGCTAAATAATTAAAAACAGTACAGAACAGAGGGGACACTGGGCTTATTTCTAGACTAAGACTAAGACTAAGTGCACATTAACTTATCATTGAATCTGGAAGAGACCAAAAACAAAAACAAAATTGAAAATAGAAAATGTGCAAAATGTAATATTACTGAAAATGAGCTACACTTTTTCAAATCATGTAGTCTTTATACTGAGGCTAGAGTAAGATTATACATAACATTTTCAGAATCAATTGAAAATTTTGTTCAAGCAAATAATACAGAAAAGCTTGTTTACATTTTAAATGCTGAGAACATACCATTGATAAAAGAATTAATTAAATGCATAAAAACATCATATACGACAAGAAAACAATATTATCAATGTTAAACAAAAACTAATGGAAATGTAATATTGTTATCTTCAAGTACCAGTGATATTTCTTTACTGTATCTTTATGATAAGTATAGTTTTAGTTTGTAGAATAGTTTCAGTTATACCTTTATTACATTTGTATTCACCTAAATTGAATTTCTTTCAATATGATTGTAATAAAGAATTATCTTATCGTATCTTATCTTATCTTATCTAATAGTCTCAAATCTACAAGATTCTTTGCATTTTTATCGGGCGATGAACTTCACTTGAACTTGACATTTCGACTTAAGCATTGCCGTCACAGTCACAGTCAAAAGTGGTGTTGAAGAATGTCGGCATTGTTAGGCCTTAACAATTTGTCGTGCATCTATGTATGTTTTACATAAAACAAATACAGTATAGTATAATAACAAAAAATACATATATGTTGATTAATGGACAGGCCAGTATTTATTTGAAAGCGCGTCACATGTTATTCAGCTGGTGCTTGGAGTTTGCTCAGTCGGTAGATATACCCAGACAGACTGTTGAGATATAAAGAGGATTCTCAAAGTTGCAGTAAATGCGATTTCACACTGTTTGAACACAGATTGTTGTAAGGTGTTAAGAAAGAAAAAACAAAGGCACATATTAAAAGAGACCATAGAATGTTTTTTAATTGGTCTATAATTGATTTTACAAGTGACGTCATCATAAGTTCTTCAAGTCATGTGAAAGTACTGAAGCAAGTCCGAGGATGCGCAGACAATTGTACGTACTGCCCCAGTGTACTTACCCAGGGAACTGGAATACATTTATCCAAACAGATGTGACGTGCCTACGTGCCGATATACATGCTACACTTTTACATAAATCTGGTCTACGTTTTACTTTCTATGTCCTACCAGTGAACTCAGTCATGTGACTCGATTCTTTGTGTCCATAAGCTCACCGTATACCAGGACCATTTAAAAAGTGATTCAGTTGAGCTCTCAACCACCTCAGGACTGCATCTTCGCATTGCCACATCTCGACATCATATTACACCAAGACCCAGGTATGTGATATAATAGACATTTAATATCGTTAAGTGGATCATTAGTATCGTTTTGACGGTTAATGCTGATATATTTGATATTATTTTACCAGAGTGTTATTTTTATTATTCATTTTAAGAGAGAAAGTAATGATTTTACGGCAGCAGGCGTCACATCGTATATCATCCAACTTTTATTGCAACTTAAGTTTAATGATTTCGCTAAGTAGTTTGATTAGCTTCTAGTTTATCTCAACTTTTATAGGTTTCGTAAAACGTTTCGCGATATTTCCGTTTTTATTTTTAACCGCTGACGGGGCTCACCATTTGCTGTCGTTTTTTTACTACTAATTTATAAACAGGTTAATAAATCCGTAGACAATTTTTAGAACAAAATTTAAAACAATATATTTATAGACTTTCTTCTATTGTTTGAAGTTAAATTTGTTTCTGATTACAAATTCACGATGATACGTCAATATTTTGTTGAGTGAAAAAAAGTTATAGTATAATATCATCTTATAGTTACTTATTAATTTATAATTCGTGTGTCAGTTTAAATACGGCTTTATCGCCGAGTTGTACGATTTGCGTTCACAGCGCGCGACACGGCTACGATTCTTTACTCAAGAGTTCGTGAGTTTCGTTACCATGGGTGTCATTGACGGCCAACTGCTTCCATCTTATTGACACAATAGCCGAAACAATAGATTGCTCGGTGAAATACTCGTGAATCTGATTTTACAGATTTGCTTGGACGGTTTTTAAGAGTCTGCGTTCCCGTTATATGACATCATACACCCAACATGCCTGTTCCAAGTTCAAAATCAATTGCATAATTTGCAATTCAAATGTTACATATAAAAGTAAAAATAACTTCATACTTGACAGAAGTCAACTTGTTTAAGTGTATAAATATTTGACCGTAGAATGTTCGAGGGAAAGGATTTACAGAAAACATAACAGGACTTTTAGACGACAAGGAAGATAAAAATAACTTAGTCAATCAAAAACTACTCCAAATGATGAGCCTACATATAAAGATTACCTACATAAAATACTGTTCTAAATAAAACATGTCCATATTGAGCTGTTAAATATGTGCCAAAAATCCCCGAATAGTTAAAATTATGACCTGAGACGCAAATAATAATAAAAAAAAGTCTACCCGCCGATATATAGTGCGGTTGTCGTTAGTC